CTTTTACTTTATTTAGCAGCACAATTTTAGTTCTGTTAGCAACTCGAATTTTTTTCTAGCTAGAGAAGGGATGATAGGTTATTTTCAATGTCGTTAAGCCATATCATTAATACATAAAAATGTTGCGTTAATAAACCATCTTCAAAGCTATCAAATCGAGATAATATCACCTATTAAGTATGCCTTCCTTCGCCAAACTAATGATTACCAGCGCTGGTTGTTCTTCCCGCTAAAAAAAAACCCTATAACATGTTTGGCTGTAAAAGCCCTAGAATATTCTCCGAACTATTACCGAGGTGCTCAGGTTCTTGACGAATGATGCATTCGCGTCTGTAATAGACCCCGCCTCATCGAAACGACGACGGGGAGGACGAACAACGCTAGTCTGGTTCGTCCATAACTCTTCTGCCCTATTCGGAAGACCCATTTCAATTACATATTAGTAATTCGGACGCCGATCGCTATGGTAATTTTTATGAGTCGCCGGTTTTCGGGCGTTCGTAATAGGTCCTTGGCTTGCCTCGCTCGCTACGTGAACTATCTACCTCTCTTACCATCCATAATCATAGTGAATAAGAGTTTATGATATGTTCAATTTAAATGCTTTTGGAATTCACTACTTTCCATTTTTGCTAGAGAATAGAGGTTTTTTCTGAGAATTTTCATCAAAACCATTCTAAAGAATAACAAGCTACTTGAGTCATGTTTTCACTCTCTACATGCTGTAATGAAAGACGAAAACATATGGGGGTAATTACAGCCTCTTCTAGTTGCTGGCAAAGAGCCGGCCATTACTGTATTTCATAGGCTGATACATGAAGTGCCCTCGGCCGGGGCCGCAGCCGAGGGCGGGGCGAGCGCGCTGATTGGCCGCCGCGGTCACGCCCCTCGGAGACGCACTCCGTTGATCTTCCAGCTTCCTCTTCATCAATCCCTACACTTCCTAAACCCCCTACACTTCAAACCCTACTCTTTGCTCAAAAATCAACACTTATCAATCGCTTGTTCAGTACTTCTCATTGCAAATTCATTGCATAGCTGCAAAATAGCACTGAAATTAACAAATGTTTAATGTTTTTGCAATAAAAATGCCGAATCAATGATTACGGCGTTCAGAGCAGAATTTATGAGCACCTCTATTATGGTAGGGTCTTGATTCATGTGTGTTGTTGTTGACAAGAACTTCCCGTTTTATTTCTCTTGCTCGCCATCGGATTAGAGCTGTGATTATATCACTTGTCTAGAAGAACATCAAGCATTTGCGAACCTATATGTGAACCAGGCTGATCTATATTAGGCTTAATTGTGTGTCGCAAGAAATTGTTGTTCCTTGACCATGAATAAAAATGAAAAAATCATCCAAAAATAATCCGCAAATAATCCTCGATTAGTGGAGCACAATCCCAAATTTTGAGAACTTCTTCAGCTTCCTTGAGTCTACGAGGGAGTTTTCACATTCTGCTCATGGCTTTTTTCAGCATAACGTATTTTTCAGGATCTTTTGTGTCGCCTAAATTATGCTCCATGTACAAATTTCATTATTGGAATCATATACTCTCTCTGTGGGGCATTTCTGAGAAACTTTTGCAGTAGAAGACTCTTGACGTGGATCAAATATCGGCTTCATATTTAACCAGGATATCTGTATATGCTGCCCATCAGAGATTTTGAAACTTTCACATTTAGGAACCAAGATTTTTTTGGCATTTGATTAAATACATTGATAACGGGGGGGGGAGGAGGTACTGATGTTAATCCAACATAGAGGTTGCAATAGCCAGACAAAAGCTCTCATTAGCTTCATCTCTCGAACATTAGTGAAATCTCCGAAAACAAACGCAATTTTCAACTCGTCAAATGCACATGGATAGGATCATAACTGTCAGACGCATTCGTCGTATCTCATTGCTTTTACCTAGTGCTCGACTAATTGCTCAACATTTACTACGCTATAACATTTTTTCCAGGGATGTTTGAGCTTTTAAAAGGTATAAGTAGGTATCTTATTCATCGTGGGAGTCCAGTAGATCCTCTACAAGGATTATTACTTTTGCAGCTTATCGAGCGTGTTTTTGCTGTCAACTTGTTTGCTGTTTTTAGCGCAATTTATGCTAGTGATTGAGGGGTAAAGCGTTAAGCCAAAGGTTAGCTGAAAAGCTGCAAACCTCGCATTACCGACCCGGCAAGTATCGTTCGTTCAGCGGCATTCGACACATCAACCCGTGCGCGATGTAATCGATACATACAGTAATCCTTTGGGGTGTTATTAATCTATTTCCTGACTCATAGTACGATGCGCGGCGGTTTCTTTATGTAATAGGCATGGAGAAGGAGCGAGATATGAATATCATAACAAAGTGACGCAGGGTAAGAGCAGTTTCAGCGACTCCACGGGCGAAAAGCGGGGCCCCGCCACCCGCTTTTCACCCGTTTTCAGTATTTTGAGAGGCGCGTGAGCATCCGGCTGAATAGCAGTTTCGGCGCTGCAAAATGCAGTCAGTAACAGCTTTATTAATGATTGCAGTTAGCTGGAGCAATAGCCGGGCGGATTGGCTCGGCTCGCGAGAATGCCACAGCCGGCTGAGGATAAGAAGCCGCAGATATCAACGCCAATTATGCGTATCATTATTTTGCTATAATCTCTATTATGTCTTCTGCTGGCTCGGACACAACAGTGACAAGCCGGATGATTCGCTTGAAACTATAGTGTCGAAGCAGGGATTTGTACGAGTAAATAGAAGGGATTGTATTACTTGAATCTAATCTTGATTAGAAGATGACCAGGAAGCAGACGGTGATGTTTCGCAACTTTGAAAGTGACAGCATCATTGTGGAAAGCCAAGTCGTATTGAATTTCATCATTGCAATTGAAAAATCTAGACAACGTTGTCCCACGTAATCCCAAAACAAGTTCCTTATTTTTAGCTAAGTCTACGATTACAAGAAGTGGATCAAATGATTTAGTATGTTTTACGTCATAAAAAATAATTTTTGTCGTTTTTAGCTCTTGTCGAAATAAAAAAAATCGGCCGTGATAAATTCTTGAATGGTTTTTCTGAATATTTTATGGTTCCGATTTGTTGTTGAAGCAATCAAAGAAGTCCGCCGGTAACAAGAAGCAAAAGTATTAGCTACTGAAATTGAAAAAAAAACTTGAGGCCGAACTGTTTGATTATGCAAAGGAAAGCAAATCATTTGAAAGTAAATCCTAAATTGCATCATAATTGTGATTTGCAATCTGAACAAAAAAATCCATCTAACAGCTGATGTAGGTAAATTGATTATAAGCATCTCTTTTTCTACTAGCAGTGCAATGAAATTGTAAAAGTATTCTTTTGATCAACAGAAGGAATTCAAATGTTACCATGTGATGTATCTGGAGATTTTTATGTTCCTTTCTGCAACGCTACCCTATTGAATATTGCCAGATTTCACTGAAGCTAAAAACCCACATTTTCCTTTCTGCAATGCTCCTACCCCTCGACTTTAGCTATCACTCCTTTATCTGAATAATGTTCACCAAATACCGTCTAATAAGTTACATTAATTAGACTCACTTCATGATTGAGTCTTCTCTTCTGCTCTCTTATTTAGCTTGTTACTCTCCATCATTCATTACCTGTCAGAATTAAGTGCTTGAACCTCATTCGCCCTTGCGCAAAGCGCTGTTCCTCTCGCACAGACAGACAACCATTGAGTCTAATTAAGCGAGAGCTCTGTGCATGTAATCAGTTCGCCATTAATAGCTGGTATCATAACTGGTGATTACTAGGCATGCACGTTCGTTTCTCACCTGCTTCCATGGCACTATTATAGCTCCTCATCTGGCTGCATACATGGCTATAGTCCCAGCTTTCTGCACCTAATTGGTACCATTTGTGGTAAATTATCTCTCGAATTTGATCGTGCAAGTTTTGTATGAAGGAACTTCTAAATTGACTGTTAAATTAATGGTTGTGCTTACTTATTTCAATTAGAAAAGTGCAAAGCCATATTGTTGTTGGATCAATTTTAAGCGCATAGAATTCTACAAGGAAGTTAATCTTTCCGTCATTAAAAACACTTTTCAAAACTTCAAACTAACTGCACAAAGCATGTAGCGGTTTGTGAGCATGGTCATCTGCGGAATTCTGCCACTTATTTATCTACAGCATCAAATCCGTTAATGTTACAGCCACTTTGGCAGATTGTAAGCTTCCATAAATTTTATTTGCTTGAAGGGAGCTTAAGGTGAAAGCGCTATTCGCTGAAATTTCACAATCATCTAGTAAAAGTTAATCAAGTAATTATCATAGCTGATAAAACTTTACAAATAGAGAAAATACAGAATTCTTAAGGGTAAGAAATCTTTGAGTCCACATCTTTCGAGTTTTTATGCTGACGAGGTTTTTTCCTGGTATTAATGAGGGGGAGGAGTTGCACAAAAGCCGTTTATCATCTCGAAATACGGTTTAATAGGTGCTCGAGGTGATAATCCTCTCAGCTCCAGCTAAAATCCATGTGTCGAGGAGGCGTGAGCTGCTGCTGGTGTTTATATTCCGTTGAACAGCGCAGTATCATCCTAACGAGCATCTGAGGAAGTGTTCCGAGAACAGCCCGTTCTCGTCTGCTCCCCTTCGGCTTCTGGGGGGCAATCGCCCGATTTTTTGTCACAATGGCCGTGTTGTATCTGGCGATATGGGCTCGATTAGAGCCGATCGCCCCATTTAGTCAAACACAATCAGCAAGTTTGAAACTGCTATAACAGGGCTCCATCCTATAGAATAGTGTGAATGTTGCGCTCACCCACTCATGCTCGCTCTGTCCCTCTTGCTGTTTATTGAACGGAATCGCATTTCATCACTTTATTACTGCTTTCAATAAAATCCTATATGCAGTGCAGACATGACATTGTTCAAGCTTACTAGTTTGCACTTCATTATTTTTTGTATTTCTTCGAAATTGCTCTTGAATTTGGTTCGTTCAAGCATGATTCTGTAATGTATTGTACCTATTTTCGGATGAGTATCTTCCTGAACGGAAGTCATCTATCGTCACCTGAAAAACCACAATTCTCTTCAGCTGCTACTTTGACATCCTCACCGGACACAGTCTCAGTGAGTAATTTTTTTACTTTTGGAAATTATGAACATGGTCTTGCAAGTGAGTGTTTTAGTCAGACAGAAAAACGAACCATATCTGTTTTTGTGATGACTAGGAATATGAAACTTTCAAAAAAAAAGCTGCATTTCCGTTGCAAGCATTCAATAATCTGTTTAGATAATCTAGAACTAATCAAAAATGAGGAAGAGTTTTTTGCAGTTATTTATTCATAAAACATTGATAAGAGTGAGAATGCGATACAAAATTCAAAAACAGTGAATTTTAAAAGGGTGGGTTTCCTTCGAGAAGAAGCACCGTAAGTAGCAAATCTTGAAGAGAAGGGCTGCTAAATTTTAGATACAAAATAATGATGTGCAAAAACGTATAAAAGATGTTTTTCATTTCAGAATTTTTCAACGCAGAGTGCTTTCAAGACACGCCAAACAAGCGATGATCAACAAGAGAAAAAGAGTGCCTATAGTATCTCAAATATTCTTGACAAGAAAGAAAACAGTCCAACAGCAAGGTGAGTGTCATCGGCTTCATTAATAGCAGTCTGTATTCGCTATTAAAAGCAGATCTTTGCCCGACAATCATTGTAAAAGTACAACATCATATTAGCATAACAATGATTGACACCTTCAGCAATAATAGCCTGTCTAGCTCGTGATTACAAGCACTTTTGACGTTTAAATAAACTAATCATTCAGCCTAGAGTGGAACAGCATTTATGTAAGATTTATTGAATTTCAGTAGCTCTTCCGCGGCCAGTGACGACGATACTGGTTCTCCACGATGTGGATCGACTGAGGAGGAACACGGGTGTGTCAAACATTCATAATGCTTTAAAATTGCCTAAGTAAATAGTAAAATGGTGCATTGAACCATGCAAAACAAATAGCTACAAACACAACATCAAAAACTTCCAAAAATCTGAATCTGGCGAGTAGGCTGATCTCAACTTGACATATTGACTTTTACAAATGTTGCCCGTATAATATGAAGTCATTGGTAGTCAAAACAATGGCCATTTTTGATGAAACCTGAATTTGTATAGTTTTTAGAAGCGTTTAACTTCGGATCCAAAAGTCCTCTAGCACTTTAACATTAGCTTTTGCTTTTTTATTCTATACATTTCGACGTTGAAAGAACCTTTTGAAGCATAATGCCGTATGTCCCAATTATATCCGATTTTTTGATCTGTTGCATAGTCGAAAACATGCTGTTTAGCTCGACATCAACCTCAGAAGCTCCAGCAAGCTCGGTTTTCCCCCATTTTCTCTTCCCCGGCACTGCGTTTCCATCCCCGTCAACGCTCTCCGACGTCCCTTCGCCGATGATCATGCAGAACTCTATCGATATCTCTCCAGCACAACTTCAGGTTCGCTTGATTTTCTCTCACATTACATGCGATAGTACGCATAGCAGCGCATCAGAGCTCTCACTGCTAATAATGAGCCGTGGCGGTCTGATTAAGCTACGGGATTCGTGCGGGAGTGATGAAACCCGATCCGTCGATTAGTTATCCAACGCTCATTAACAACTTTATGAGGCTGAGCTCAGTATCAGTCGCGCCTAGAGCCTTTCTATGAAATAACAGATGGTCGTATTTGCAGCAAGCCTACCTCTCATTCCTAGTTGGGCAACAACTGAACTCGGCCGCCGCCGCGGCGGCGGTATCGAATCCACTTCGCATGCTGGCTCAAGACCAAGGTTGGTTCGAAGCGTTGTTCAAGGGTTTCCCAGACGGAAATAAATGGAAGTAGTCTAGCTGAGTGTAAGCTGGCAGATGAGGGATTATCACTATGCTGAGCGGCTGCTGACAAGATGATTGAAATTGAATCGAATACATTCTCAGCTTGTTAAACCTCGGCTGAAGATTGTGTAGGAAAACAGTTTTTATAGGGTATAGATGAGGGGATGATATTACCTTAATCTCTACAACTACTCAACATAATCTGAATTTGTGCTCCGGAGCAGAAAGAGCGGAAAATTACAGAAAAGTAGTGGTGTTTCGCGTATTTCTTTTCTGGAAAATTTTGAAACATTGTCCTTTCTTTTTCAGTCTATCTTGCATGGAATAAGGATAATAAAAGCAGAAGTGAGTGTAGCATTTTTAGTAGCAGTATGTGTAGTATTTTAGCAGTAAGTGTAGTATTTTTTTTAATCTAAAGTGGTTGCTTCAATCTTAAAAAGAAACGCTGCCTTGTTTCAAAAATAGCACTTTTTATTCGCAAACAGATGATTGCATTTTCTAGCTCCATTTTCAAAAACAATTTTCAAAAAACCTTCATTAATGTCATATCTACATCTACAGAAGACACTCACAATGGAGACACTCTTTCTTAGAAAAGTTGCTCCTATCGTCAAAGGAATTATGCACATAACAGCTCTGTTTCTGAGTACAACTGCTAATGCCGGAAAGGTGTCTTGCACCGTAGACCCACTGAAAACAATTTGTCCCTATTCTAGGATTTATTGATGAAACAACTTAGACCGAAAAATATCGTTTTACTACTTTCAATCAAAAATTTATATTCATGGCATTTCGCAATTCAATATCGTACGGGTGACATTCGCCGATGGCCGTAGCCCTCCTTTCCAATAAGTCATGCCTAATAATCGTGGCTAAAATGTACGGTAGGCCGTGAGGCAATTAGTCAGGGCGGGCAGTTACAGTTACAGCTGCGAACAGTCGAGTCGAAGTAGCAGGTGGCTAAGCGCATCATTTCACATTCTACGCAATGTCGCTAGCCTATTAGCGTATTCATAACATATGATAGAGGCATAATGTGTGTCGTGCCTACTTGATATGCACGGTCTGTGTCTACACGATACCACACTACTGTTTCCGGTCTCAAGGTTGATACTCGAAAAACCCGGCTGGGCACGGAATTGCTTATGGGCGAGAGAGTACGGAGCTTTCGACAGCGCAAGTATGGTAATAATGTGCATTAGGCATGCGTCCTCTACTTTACGCTAGGGTTAAAATACTCCCGTTGAATCCCTCTCAAGTCAAAGCTGGAGAGTACTCTTAAGTACAGCAAAGACTTTCTCCAGTTTGGTTTGATTAAGATCTTACTTGACGACTTGGCCATTTAAGGTAGGACGTGATATCAAAATGCGCACCTCTCGAAGCTTACTCTATTAGTGCTCATTGACTGCGAAGCGCTTTTAGGATTTTGGCGTTTTTCTAATAAAGTTCGCACGACAGTAAATCAGAGTCATATTGATTATCTGTTTTATACCATTTGACATGATTAAGGGAATGCTGAAGTATTGATATTACGTAGGTTCTTTCGATCGTGGTAAATGAAAAAGCAAGAAAGCATCATATCGTATATCCGACTTTTGGCAACAATGCTGATTAGTTATCTTGGGCTGGAACGCCTTAAATCCATTTTAAAATCTTTTCTCAGTTACGTCAGATTCTGAGCTCACGCAGCTACGTTTACTAATATAGAAGGTGTCCCAAAAGTCGGTACACTAGTTTGATTCTAAATTTAATACTTTTTTGCCCCGAGATTTTTTCAAGATCTGTGAATATCATTTTATTGAGTATGCTTCGTAAAATGGATATTCGGTTTTCTTTCTGACATGAGATAAAATATAACCCTCAGTGGCTCACACCCTCCTTTATCTGACATGAGATAAAATATAACCCTCAGTGGCTCACACCCTCCTTTATCTACAGTAAACAAGAGCGACCGTTGTATCGCTACATACCGCAAATTTGAGCCGAAGCCACCTTTACCACTAATACAGTATAACATGTTTTTGGGACACTGTACATTCCTCTCTGATAAGAAATCACAGAGATCTTGTGAGACTTGTTTCCCCAACAGTCTCCTACTTCCGCTCTTGTCTCAGAAATTTGTTGTAAAACATCATAGCGTTGAAAAATGATCGTACCACAGTGGCTTATCATATCCGCTTTTCTAGATGAAAATGCTTTTTGATCTAGGATTTGAAATAATCGCTTTTGGATGGATGTTTTACTTCCAATCATAAAAAAGTGATGACAGCGGCTTAGCTGGCAAATTTTGATATAATCATTAGTGAGTGGTAGACGTAAGCAGGATCACTGGTAGACTTATAACTGCAATGTTATCGTAATTTTTATTTTTCATAATCAATGTAATCTGCAGCGTTTACGGAGCTTGCCCGGATCTGCGGTTGCATGACCAGTGGAAGAAGGGAATAAGATTAGATTACCGAACTCTAAAAATTCATATAGAATTTCATGCTTATTTTGTGTCCAGATTAGCTGTTCTCAGTGGTTGCCGCTCTAAATACCCTAATTCATACTGCTTCATTTGAGTCCACTTGTATGCATTGAATCGCCCTACGAAGTAAATATTATTGAGGAAGGCTATGTAACTGTCAATTAAGGAGCGTTCAAACGTTGATTGATTCTGACATTAATACATACTATTTGCGATTCCGCGGCAATGTTGTCTGCCTCTGCTCGTGAGGGTGCGGTTATAAACCGTACGGCGTACATTGTCCGTCATACTGTAGTTCCTTGTGATGATGGCCCGATAAAATGAAAGCAACATTGGGTGTTGTGAATAGCCGAGAAAAGAGATAGTTGAGCAGATGCGAATCGTAAACGAAGCATAGCTGTGTTAAGAAAGATGTAGTATGCATACTTCTAGTCTTTAGTAGCCATGTCAGGGGGCACCTCTTATCAAAATTCAGAAATATCGAAATCATTAAGAAAACTATTATCTATTGCAGAGCATAAAAAGCACTTCATTTTCATGATGGAACACTGTGATGGAACATTTTGACCACTATTGAAGATTTTTACAAAAACTTTTACGGAAATTATATTTACATTTATATATGGATGAGAAAGTTCGCAGTCCGTGTCCAACCAAAAAAAAAGAAGCACAACCTTAAACAGGTGCTTTCAATCTTTTTACAATAAATATCAAATCTCTACAGTATATAAAATAACGAAACTTACTTTGGTAGCATCTTGAAATGTTCACGTATTTTAAGGCGATCTTTTCGAGTAGTGGACTTATAAAAATTTTGAATATCTTTGGGTCTAATAGTCAAAGCGCAGCTAGTAAAGTTTGAGCACTTGTGTGTCTTCAAATCCTTAGTTCTTTTGAGATTGCATGATTGCTGTTGTCGAGTTTGTATGATTTTCCACTGAATTACCGTAATTGATTTTGAAGGGCCGTGATTTATCACAATAAGAAACAAGTAGCAGAATCTCTTTAGAGACATTCATTCACTATCTATAGTGTTCACTTCGCAAAAAAAGTGCATCTGGGAAGTCACAGTCAGTCTCTTTTTAGCAGTCAAAAGTACTTGTTTGAGCCATTATGCACGATAGCAATGTGTTGAGATTTTATTTTCTGAGGAGGAAGAGAAGAGACTCCTTGACGTGTGTTCTTCCTCTCCTTCTATGTTGCGCGTAATAAAATGATGGGTTTCAATGCGCAATAATCACGCTGGCACAAAGGCATCGACTGGAATCAAAGCCAGTTATGTGCCGTCGCTCTTTATGAATCGTCTTTTCAGCCTGAAGAAGAACACGTCGTCTTACTTTGGGGGAACATAGGATATTGAACATGATTTGAAAGCCCCGTAGATGTGCTAAAGTACGGGATTCTAACAAAAAGAATGCTAAATTTAACTTCTCGAAGTTCCGCCAATGCGAACCTACAGAGCACTATAGATGATTAGCGATATTTTGCGAAATATGACTTACAAGTACAAAGTTCTGATGACGTCGTGTTCCCATTAAAGAGTTTAGCATCGGCCAAATCTCACTTGTGATTTGGTGTTCGTAAAAATTCAGGAGTTGAATACATTCTTACCCGAGTAATTACTAATGGTTACTTCTGCATGAATCAGTCATGGATGACCGTCAGCATAGGGTAAAAATTCCCGTAACAAAAGAGAGAAAATGACAAAGAACACAAAAGTTTTAGTGCTTTTTCGTAAATGTTTTACACTATCCGGTTTTGAGGCTAGGAACTAGGAACTATAACGGTAGTGTAACCTCCTCCAACTTCCATTTAAGGTGCTAATGGTGATAGAAATTTTTTGGGAGATTGTCAAGTTTCGAAACAGCTATCTGTTTCATAATATTGAGTTGACTTATTGGCATTTACAAAAAAAATTTTCAGCACGAGCAGCAGCAGCACTGAATCCCTTTGGAATGCTACCTTTGCCATCGCAAACAACGCTTCGAATGCCCGTTGAGCTTTCATCAAACCCACTTACACTGCACAAAAAACAAAGCAGGCCCACATTTACTGGCCATCAGGTAATTAAAACTTATAATCAGTTATCAGCTACTATATCACTTAGTTCCGAAGAACGTCACACTAAGATTTGTTTTCGTAAAGCGCTCGTTAATGAAAGCCTTTCATAACTTATGATTTGTCATAATGTACAACGAAAAACAGCAAATTTGAAGCATTATTAGCTACTCGCAGATTTATGTGCTTGATGATAAGCTTTCACTACATAATCACAGCAGCAAGTAATGTTGACGACGAGAACGATATTAAGCTCTTTTCAGATATTCATGTTGGAGAAGAAATTCGAACAAACAAAGTATCTGGCGGGCTCGGATCGTGCTCAACTAGCACAAGAACTGAGCATGAGCGAAAGCCAGGTGAAGGTGCGTATTTTTCAATATTTTATAACAAACGAGGAATAGTCTGAATAATATCAACGTCGTTCTCATCATATTCGGTTGACGCTGAATGCAAGAGCGTAAATCACTTATGGCCGATAGTTGAAAGTTTTGGAGGTACAGATTTTTGGAGAAAAGTGCGATGCTCATGGGAAACCTTTTTGGCCTTTTTTGAAGTAATTTTTTGGCAGCTTCTTGAGGGTGATAAGAATAGGTGGTAAAAAAACCTTTTGCGAGTTTTGCACCTTCATGCACCTGCATCAGAACTTTGTCGCGCAAATGTCACAATTCTAGTCTTGAATAAGTAAAGTATGAGAAGATCGCAATTTCTATTAATTCAGGGCTGGATAAACCCATTATTTAGAGAGCATGCTAAAGGTCACGGACTGTCGGACTTGAAGGCTTTTGCTAAAAGAATGTTTCATCAGTTTCCGAGGGCTCCTCATATATGAGTGCACCAAAATTTATTCGAATTTTTCACCAACTCGGTTCTTGCAAACCAGATATTGAAATATTATTCAACTTTGTGATAGAGATCCCATCCACTTTCTCTCTACACCAGTCCGCCACAATTTTGAGAGTCAAAATACACTCACAATGTAATATCTGTACATCAATGAAACTCTGCAAAAGCGAATGCGATCGATCGAATAGTAACAACGATGATTTGGTGTCCGTTCGCAACAGTACAAAGGCTTGAATGTTTGCGCTGAACCGTAAACCGTCAAAGCGCTGGTGAGGTGAAGGTTATAATGGGCTCGCATCCTCCGCATATATTGCAATAGAAAATCGTAAACTGTTGCAGGGAGGGTCTGAATCTCTTATGTCAAATTTCACTAAAAATTTCCTAATTTATTTGCGCTGCAAGTACACGCGCAACAAGCTATGCAGTCGAACGCACTTAAGCATGTCTTCTCTACAGCTGGATGAGCGACGTTGAAGGCATCATAAATTTGCTATTCATGTTCTGTCCATAATGCCGAATCATACACACACACACACACGGCAGCAGAGAGTCAGTCAGCTGGCTGCGATTATGCGCGTTTGCGTGCTGCCCCTCGAGACAAATTGAATTTCGAATTTGGCGCTTCAATGACCGGCAATCGACTACGGTAGCTTGAGAGCAATCATAGTATGCGGCTTGCGCAATCAACTCCTTTCAAGCATATTGCTTATCGCATCTTGTGGATATGATACGGTAAGCAGTCTCGAGAGGGAGAGTGCTTTCTAGACTTATCAGCTCTGTCACAAACCCTGCAAAAAACTACCATTTTACTGCGGGGCACACTCATCACATGGATACAGACTATAACATCCGATTATTGTTCACTCCGATAAGAACTGAAAAATGAGTAGCGCAGAAGTAGGACCGCAAATCTATGTTTAGAAATTTATCGTTTTTTCTTTGGATACTTTGAATGCCTTGCAGGTATGGTTTCAAAATCGCCGTACTAAATGGCGCAAGAAGGAAGCCGCCGATAATGCATTAGGAAAGCGACAAGAAGATCTCAAGTCACCTGCCGAACAAATCCAGTCACTACAAAATATCCCTTTCATAACCTCACCCAACTGAGCATGCTTGCCCTATAATCATGATTGCTCGGAGCTCCTCGGCTTTATCAAATAAGCGACAAAGTCACCTTAATGTTCACATTTTCTACCGAATCAGATGTGAATCTACTTACGTTAGAACTCGGCAACTGCTACATTTTACAATGTGTGATACTTATTTAGTCCTGATTATCATAATAGAAAAGTGCTGGACTACCTAGACTCAAGTTCAGCATTCATTATAAAATTATGCCATTCTCTTGCCCCTGCACTATGGGTGAGAAAATCGTCCTCTTCCACGATTTCGCCTGTTCCCCATTCGTAGTCGATAATGTAACAACTACTTGACAGGCCTTTTCGACGTCCCAAATCTCTGATCTCCTTTGTTTTCCGTTTCGTACCTTGGTCTGTTTCAGTCGCTACATGTACACACTATATACAAAACTTTTATTGTGTCTTAGTTTACGATATACAAAGTTCATGTGCTTAATAAATACTTAATAAAGTTGTTTAAAACTTTAGACATGAGAAAGACATTCTTATGGCGTCTTCACTACAAGAATGCAATTGATACCTTGAACACATTCACTTTTTGATCAGAACCTCACTAATAGAACATTCGACGCGCTACCACTTCAAGTAAATGCCTACAACAAAGAAGTAATGCATGGATTCGTGCTGAAATGATGTGCAAATCCAAGCAGCCTATCTTCATTGTGTTTCTAATTTTCACAGTCATCGAGGCCTGTCCCATGCGGTTTTTGTAATGTTTCAATGAGCAGGAGACTTCTCTCCCTTCAATTGCCATGGTGTACATCCGTAAAAATATGCAAAAATATACTGTTTACAACCAATTACAAGAATTAGATTGGAACTTCAAAGCCTGCACTTGCTTTCTTCACCCGTACTTTCACAAAAGTTCCTGAAACTCACTTACTTAGATACTAGAATGGCCCGTCTTCACGTGGCGTGCGGTCACCAGCGCAAAAGTTCCCAGTGGTCCTGTCCCTCGTTTCAGACATCCACGATCTTCTTGGTTGTCGTCGCTGGTTGCGTCCACAAGTTCCAGGTATGAGAATCGTACGCAGCTGATTTCTCAGCTGGTGCATCCGTCACGAACAGCCCATCTCGTTGATGGTCTTCCTCGCGGATGTTCCGCTTCGCGAGGAATCTACTCTGATCTTTTTGTCCATTTGTAGTTTGTTCTTCTCATGATATGACCGACCCATCGATGCTTATCTTTCACAACGTATGCCGCTGGGTCCCAAAGACGGGACATTCTTCTCATGTGCATCCTGCGAAGTCCGGTAAGATGTTGTTTGTGTTGGGTTTCAGAAGAATGCGCTCAAGCACTCTGTGGGTGGCCCGTAGAGAGCTTTCGACGTAACTACAGTGTTGGCTCAAATCTCAGCTGCGTAAGCGGCTGAGAAATGTGCGCGCGGAGTACGGTTGGGTTGAATAAGTGGACTCGAAGCACTGGTTCGAGTAGGTAGGTGGCTTCTTCCAGAAGCTCGAGAGCGGATCATACTGCTCTTCTTCTTCTCAAGTTCTTTGCTTAAGTCGTTCTCCATGTTCATCGAACGTCCAAGATACATGTAAGAAAACGTCTTCATGAGAAAGATGCCTTCCATTGCCATTTCCGCATCTTCGCAAAGGAGGCTCCCGTAAAGTGAGTCTTTCCCAACTTAAAATCCGATCTTTTTCATTACTTTTAGTTTCTTCAGCATCGTTCCAGCTTCAGTGATACTGCTCGAAAAGAAGATTTCATCCGCAAAACGAAGGTCCGCGTCCTCTTGTCCCAGTCCAGTAACTTCATCACCCACTGCAAGGCTGCGATGAACAGCTTTGGAGATTCTGTCGCCTTGTCGGACACCCTTTCCAGTTGAGATGGTCAGGGGCGATGGAATGACTGCACGTCGTTGTACAGTCCTTGTAGTTGCTGGCTAATGTCCTAAGCTGGGTCCACTCCTCAATTGACTAGCGCTGACAGGACGGCGTTGGTTTCGAGGCTGTCGAAAGCTTTCTCGTAGCCGACGAAGGTTACGACGAAAGGCAGTAGGTACTCCTGGCAGACTTCTATGACCCTCGAAATCGTCTAGACATGGTCCATACAGCTGAATCCTTTGCAAAATCCACCTTTTTCTTGGGGCTGGGCTTCATCCAATGTCTTGGAGTGCGAGCTGGGATGATCTTTGTGAAAAACTTGTACAGCACACTCAGCAGACACATTGGACGATTGTCCCGAAGATCCTCCCTTTCTAAGTGAACGACGGTCCTCCACTGGTTGGGGAATCCTTTCCTTGTGAAGATAAGAAGTCAGACGCGACGCGAAAACTTTGTGTAAATGTTGTCATCCGGCTCTTACAAGGGAACGATCCCAACTTAAGGTGGCGAATTGGAATAAGACGCATACCATTAGATGCGTCTTGATGAGCTGATTCCAAATCTACCTTCCATATCTGCGACAACGTTATCTGGAAGAAGTTATGAAAGATTAAAAATGTGAAGTAACGGGGGGGGGGGGGGGGTTTGATGCATTATCTGCTTTGAAATCCAACTTGGAAGTGCACGACTAGCATCATATTGAGTGTACTGATTTCACGGAATGCTCACATCCAGAAGAAATGCAAATAAATGTTTTTGAACAGTTAAAAAGCAACTAAAGTTCTTTGGTAAAAGCTATGAGCAATGAAAAGTCCAAATTTGGCAAATATACAGCGCAATACCTCGAAAATTAGTTGTTCAAAAACACTTATTTGTGTTTCTTTGAAGTGCGAGCATTCCTTGAAATCAGCACACTCAATATCATGCTAGTCATACACTCCCAAGTTGGATTTTGAAGCGAATTATGCACTAAAACCCCCGTTACTTCACGTTTTTAACCTTCCATAACTTCTTCCAGATAACGTTGTCGCAGATATGGAAAGTAGATTTGCAATCAGTTCATCAAGACGCATCTAATGATATGCGATTCATTCCAATTCGCCACCAGTTGGGATCGTTCCCTTGTTAGAAGTTCGAAAGAAGAATGAGTCGATTCTGATTTTCGTGTTTTTTTTTACTCTGAATTGTGCTACGCACTTTAGCAGGTAGAGTGGTGGTATTGGTCATTTATGAAGTCGTGACGACGTATTTGACTGCGGTCTTTGCGCTCACAAGAGCAGAAACATTGATACAAAAAGCATCACCTTAACTCTCACCTCTGTTACTCCCAATGTCTAAACTCTGTCATATGTAAGCAGAACAATCATTCGTGTGGAAAACTAAGAAAACGCGGTTGCCGGAAAGAGCGTGCATTTCGCGCTCAATCGCGCCATCGCCATGATTTTTCGAATGCCCTATATTTACATCTCCAGTAGGGACAATGGGCTTTGCACCGATTTTGATGAGCGGAAGATGATGTAGAAGTTCTTCGCAGAAGTCGGAGTCCCGTCTTCGTACGATAGTGTAGTCAGTTTGTACGCGATATTCACAAAGTTCCTTTGGCGCTTCTTAAAGGCAGCGTCCAGGCAAATTTGGGCCCATAGCTTTTTCGCCTGAAAACTGATGAGGGGCCATAATTGAGGCATTATTCAACAATGATTGGATACTTGGTGACCGTGCCCATTCGTCATGATTTGTATATCAAATGCGCCTTTTAATGCCGGTTCGAATACTGTCTTCCATATCTGCAAAACGATAACCTGGGCGGCGTTATGATTATTTTTCCATGAATAAATTGCGCTACTGCGGAGGATCAAAATCATCACTAAGTAATTTTCTTTTCTTTTCAAATGCTGAATATGACTTAGATAGGTACAGGGCTTATCAAATAAATTGTCGCTTGCCCCAGCATCTCCACTTCCGCGCTGGACACTGCATCTCTTCCAAGATGCATGCTCTTTGAGTACTTTCCCAGTGCGAGCGTGGGAAAGGCGGAGCCTCAACTGATTGAAAGTGATTAGGGAGCATGTTCCGCGGAAGAGACGCAGAGTCCCTCGCGGGATGGAGATGCTGGGGCAAGCGACACTTTATTTAATAAGCCCTTTTAATACAACAGTACTTTTTTAAGAGCCTCTTCATTAGCCTCAAACGGTAATCTAGAGCATATTTGGTGATTTCAACTACCGGAAAGTACGCAAATTCTCTAAGAAAAAAAGTTCATAACTACCGTCAGATGATCGTTTCGCAGATATCTAGCACAGATTCAAAATCAGGGTTTCGAGGTACATCTTAAGGTATACATTGCATTCCAAATGGCCACAGTCACCGAGTATCCTTTCCTTGTAAGCCTCAGTGCAAATGAATAATTAAAGGCTGAGAAATCCGTCAAATCCTCAGCGACTGCGCCATGACCGTAATCCGGAAATGACTTCGCACCTCTAAGTTCGCGCTGGGACCCATCCTAACTCACTTGCGAGTTGCGGTCGCGGCGCAGGCGCGGAGTGTTTGGGGATGGATTTCTCAGTCGTGAATGAATGATTTGCGTTGCCGTTTAGGCAGTACCTTAGTTAGGGCCATTTTGTCAGTTTATAGGCAAAAACCCATGACCCTGATTTGGTTGGACACTGCCTTTGAAGGCAGTGGTTTGGCAGAATGAGACCCGTGGCAAAACAAGGTCACAGGGTAGGAGCCCCCATAATGGAACCTATGGGCCAAAGTTCGATCTTCTTCTATTAATCTTTTTCCCGAAATATCAGCGCGAAAGCAGCGCCCATCTCCCCTCCTCTCCGCCCCCCGCCCACCTAATTTTGAACACGGACGAGTGGACGCAAAGCCCGCCATGGCGAAGACGCACAGCCGTTGCGGGATCCTTATGCTTATAGCATTGCAGCATGGGCGCTCTGACGATGGAAGGGAAATTGCAAGTTGGGCGGCGTCGGAGATAAGGGGAGATGGAAGCGCTGCTTTCGGGGTGAATTTGCGGGGGTTAGAATGGCAGAGGAACATCGAACTTTGACCCACAGTCCCATTACGGGGGCTCCTACCCTGTGACCTTGTTTTGCCATGGGTCTCATTCTGCCGAGCCGCTGCCTTTAAGAC